AATACGAACAATACAACAGCAGGTACAGAGAGAGGGGCGACTATATTTCAGTGGAAAGTAAACTGAAGCCAGAGTCGATGAAGCCAGAAACATCCCCATGGTCACTTCTTATTTTGAAATGCAGCGGCTTAACAATATCCATTTATATTCTAGTAGAAGTAGTAGTTTATTCGGTAATTTTGCATCACTACAAAACAAAACAAAAACAAAACATAGACTACAGTCCCATAGATCATGACTGAAAGGGTTTAGGCTGAAGTAAAATGTACTTATAATGCCAAACCCTACTAAACAATGACAGAATTCCAAGAAAAAAGTAGCGTTTGAACACATATACAGTTTATGGTCCCAGCAGTAACCTGACCAGAACTGCTGTGGAAAATACATGGACAACTGAGGGATTACGCTGACATCTGACAGAAAAGACCGTTTTTTTGGGGTTTTTTTTGGTAAAAGCTTTGGTTCCATGTGGATAAGTCCAGTTAATTACAGTTATTAAACCAGCAAGACAAATCTACAATCTGACACTTAAACAGCAATTTTCATCACAGAATTCAGACCTGCCCTCTAACTCAATTTTGAAGGTCCTCTTTAAACTTGTGAGCTTTCAACCTTGCCCGAATGCTGTTACTTCATCAAAAACATACCAGGAGTTGTGCGAATGAAACAAAACACATGTTTATTATTACACTTGTGTAATAATGATGAATAATAATGTATGATTCTAGTGAAGGTGCATGGAGTTTAAAAACACAGTGGAGCACTTCCTGTATTACCACATGACATCATAAGATGAATCAGAGTGTCCTGTTTCCAGTTTTGGATCCATGTGGACAGGTACAATTAATTACAAATATTAAATCAGCTAAACACATCTACAATCAGACAGTTCAACAGCAAATTCATCATAGAATTCAGACCTGCCCTCTAACTCAATTTTAAAGGGCAGTCTACAGTGTTGTCATGTGAACACAACCTTGTAATCGAAGATGATTTTCAAAAATAGAAACCAACATATTGTCAACAGTTTTAGAACTTACACATAATATCACAAGTTTTTAATGTCCCTTTATATGTCCCTTTTCAACTTGTTTAAACTGTTAAGTCCTTTTATTACTAATACCTGTCTCAAAATGCCTGTCTCAAGTTCTTAAAATATTTTTCTTTCACCAGCTTCTTCTCAGCATCTCATCGTAACTGATATAAGATGTGAAAAGGGCCTCTTTTTTTTTTTTTTTCTACTGACAGACTGACTATTCCAAGGCTGAAATTTTCCAAAAGATTCTGGTGAAGGTGTCTGGAGTGTATTACTGTATTACCACATGACATCACAAGGTGGAACAGAGTGTTTTGCGTTTGAGAGAAGAACGCGAAGAACAGGCAGAATTTGAGTGTTAAATATGTGTGAATGAAACAAAACATAACTCCAGGTATGTTTGTGATGAGGAAACAGCATTATAACATAGACCGGAAAATGTATAAACATTTATAAACACTCATCAGTACCATAGAAATTTCAATATTTTTGCAGTATTTAGCAGTATTTGAAAAGAATGTAACAAAACTGTCTGCCTCACATTTCTAACATGCTCTTGAAATATTTTTTTATTTCACCAGCTTCTTCTCAGAGCCTCAACATTACTGACATATATATAAATAAGATTATTACACACACACACACACATTATATATATATATATATATATATATATTTTTTTTTTTTCTACTTATGTGTTTGTCCTCTGAAAAACAACAAGCTAATTAGAGAAAAGACAACATTATCTTTCCTAGCCACATACTCTGCCGTAATGAGAGATTGGCGAAGATAAGTCAAATTAGCAAAACAACTCCGGAGATTTCTTTAAGTGTGGATTTTAGTTAACTGTGGCGTATTGATTAGTTAGGGCGCAATGACAACAACGGCTCAGACTAAATAATGAAGTCAAGCTAATGTTGAGTCTTATTAGTATTCTCGGTGTGTGCGTGCGGAGAAGTGGTCCGTCATTGAGTTGCTGTCAGTTTACAAAGCCACTCCCAGAGGACTTTGACAAACAAGTGGAATAATCAGACATCACAAAAGGGAGCGTCGCGTACATCAAGACATATAAAGGGTTAGGTCAGGACGCCATGCTGTTGTTGTTGTTGTTTTTTTCTATTTTTGAGACTAGTACAATGTGTTCTGTGTTAGATGGTTGGTTACTCTGCATTACAGGTGCACTTAAAGGTATTCAGGACTAGTGGTAGGATGAAAAGGATGGTTGGTAAATAGTGAAAATGGTAGAGCTATAGAGATAATGATTTGTACTTTATATCTATGTTTACCAAATCATAAAAAAACTCATGTTAACTCATATTAAACATGTGTGAATGAAACAAAACACAAGTTTGTGATGAGGAAACAACAGTATAACATAGATCAGAAAATAGAGTAATATGGACCCTTTAAGATACAAGTTGCTATTCCCAAGTGATCTACTTTAGCAGCACACAGCACAGCAAATGTCTATATTTTAGCACTTTTTTGCAGTATTTGAAAAGACAGTAACAAAAAAACATGGCACATAACTCAAGATTTAGTGACAGGGCTCTATAACTTGGACAGCTATCAATTGTTAGCACCAAAAATAGAAAAGTGCATCCTGTTTTGAGTCCTATAAATCTGTCAGCAACTGCCCCCTCATCATCATCTTTCAAATAAAGTTAGGTAAAGATTGTGGCTTAGACTTTTGGGTACCATTTTAAAATAAGTGCACTTTAATTAGCCTTGATAAAGTGTGAACAAATACCAGTTGTGTTCATTATTTATGTATTCATGATTCAGGCTTAGTAAGTACTTGATAAATACCCTAACTCTTAACCCCTTAATTAAGAAGTTAGTAGGCCTGATTCATCCTTAGTAAACTATTTGTCCATTATGAATTGAAGCTGTTATTTGTAATAGTGGCTAATTATGAAGTGCCAGCTTTTAACTTACCACATTCACAATAAATGATTGATTGATTCATGTTTGATTCATCCAAATTAAATATGAATGAATGAAACAAGTGTTACGGCCCGGCTCGAGAGACCTCAACAAAAGAATGTGGAAAAACCAGGCAGCACAGTGTAACCCTTTTAGGGCATCAATAGCAATAATACTGACTATGGGTGCATGAGTTAATGAGTAGAATAACATTTTATGCATGCAAGTGTTGAAGGTGCCGTGTGCAGCCTGAGTTTCGGTCCATCTGCAGTTGTGGTGTCAGACCAGTCGTGTTGTGGTGTGACATTCACACGCAGACTGCAGCTCTGCTGTGCTGTTGTGGTCACCGAAGGCTGTACACGTGAGACCACGTGATAACTGTTCATTTCCTAAGGGAAAAGACTTGTGGCAAGAATAGAATCTAAATGAATTAATCCGGAGAGCCGCAGCATCTCCGCCGACACCAACGGACTGCACGGCCTGCGCTCTGAGCTCCTCTGTTTCTTTTAACTATACATAATACTTGCGTCCCCCGAAGCTGCGCCTTATGCAGGCTCTAGTCGTCCCTGGAGTTCTTCACCTCGAAAAACACAAAATATTAGTAACAGGTCACATTGTGGACCGTAAGTATGTATTTAAGTTACACATTTTCAGTACATTTGTCCTGGCCTTGGTGGACAGGACACAGTAGAGTAGTTTGCACCACTTCAAAGAATAACTCACTTCAGTGGAGACATGTTCTCAGAGAATGCTTTATACATGATTCATTTCACATGTACTTGTACTTGTACAATGTGGCTATACAAACATGACATTGCTTTGTAAATGCTCTTTAAACCTGTGCGTTTTCAACATCAATCACCTCGATGCCAGGAATACTGTTATTTCCACTGACCCAGAAGATTACATTTGTGTACTGGCTCTTTTCTTCCATTTGTCTTTCCCTTGCACATAATTATAGTGTTGGGCTTAAAGGGCCTGTACCTGATTTCAAACCATAAGTCAGGAACATGTTTTAGTTTGAACTTTTAGCCCTGCTCACCTATTCCTTTCTGCCACTGTGATACTGCACCATGACACAGACATGGCACGGGGCAGTATCATGGAGTTGTTTCTGTATAGTTCTCAAATTTCTGCTACTATTTTAGTATTTTTGTCACTATTAAAACTGCACCATGATGGAGAATCAAGTGTCTGGGATAGAGTCAGGCAGGTGGTTTCACATCATTCTTTGTAACAATGTGCCTGGACAAAAGACTGACTATGTCATCAGTTTCTGCATTAGTTATTATCAGAGAAAATGCCAAGCAAATGAATATATTTTATGTTGTTTTTTTTCTTTCTTAGCTTTTACCGTACAATGCTTGATGTAAAGAGCTTTTATCTTGGCAAGAATACATTAACATTAAGTACAGACCCTATAAAGGGAGACACTACAAGGCAGACAAGCTTTCATGTGGGAACAACAGAATAGTCCAGTTTGCACCAAAATATGTTTTAATATTCAATTTAATCAACTTGGAGCTGTAGATTTATTTGGGACATTGTAACTTCAAAGGCTGTTTCTCAAAATGTATTATTCTCCCAGGGAAATAAAGATCAAATATACCAAACTTCCCAAACCTTCCAAGGCTTTGATGAAATGTATAGATTTTCTGATATTTAATTCCAAGTCTGATTTATTAAAGTTTTAACTCCAACAAATTAGGCAAATTTGAGTTATTTTTTCAGTGAGATTCAGTCAATACTAATGAGTTCCCTCTGTATATTTTTTAGTATCTAATACAGCAAAACAATGCAAGAAATTTAACCCTGGCTTCATCTAATTTGAAGATTCATATGTACCAAATATTGTCAGTTTTACAGATTTTTCTGAATTTTGTAAGATTTTTCTTTACATTTATGTTAATGAACTACAGTTTCAAATGTATTTATCTAAATGTAAGATTCTTTCCCTATTCACCTGTATTCCACATCACTCACATGACCTTCTTTTTGTCTCCTTCCCTACATCCTCGCTCCTTGTTTCCTTTCCTAGCTCTGAGGGATGAGCGGTACCAGCTGGTCACGTTCACGTCGCGGCTCCTGCGTATTAGCGTGGCCAACGTTAGCGTGTCTGATGAAGGCGGGTTTTACTGCCAGCTCTACACAGACTCCACACACCACCAGGCTGCCACGCTGACGGTGCTGGTGCCCCCGGACACGCCCACGGTGGAGGTGAAGCAGGACGCGGTGGAGGGGGGAGAGTCCGAGCTCACCTGTGTGTCTCCCAGGAGCAAACCCGCCGCCACGCTAAAATGGATGCGCAATGGACGAGAGATCCCAGGTACAGAGAAGATGTGTGTGTGTGTGTGTGTGTATTTGTGTAGAAGGAGAAGTCTTGGATAATGATTAAGGATAAAAGGAGATGGCAAGGTCAATACTAGTTTGTGTCCGCGTTGTACAATTTGACAATGTCGTAATTTTAAATGGAGGCCAGGGGACTATAAAACTCTACAGAGAATTACTGTTTTTGTAAGAAATCTTCTAACTTATGACCCACAAACTACATATTTGTTAGGCCAGGGGTTACCTTCACAAATTTAATCTTAATCACGTATTCACCTAATGGTTTATAAATGGTGCACTGTGTAACTTTCTGGAGGGTCCGTCACCATGGAGATTTTATTGCTTTCCTTGGAATATTTCACAGTATGATATTAACCCTATCTATTTCTATGGAGACAAGCACCAATCTAATTTACAGGCCAGATTTGTGGAGAGGTGGGCCGCTTACAAATACATGTATTTCAAGATATTGTTTTATTGTAAAGAACACCTATAATTAAATCATAATCAAGTTTAATGTCACATGTGGTACATTCCAGGGAAAACAATCTCCCTAGAGTATCTCTATGGACACAACCAGGTGCTAGACTCTTACCAGAAAAGTTTCACAGTGCACCTTTAAATTTTAACAACAAATTCCACCAGAGTTGTCATGTGAATGCAGCATAGAGGTAAACTTTGAATCTGTTTTCAATTGTAGAGGGTTGAAGGTTAAAGGTCAGGGAAATGTGTACATGTATATGAAAAATACTTTTTTAACTTCATATGAATATACTGTATTTTGTTTATTTTGGGCTAGGTACAGGTTCTTAAAATAACATTGCGCTAAGGAATGAAGTGAGTAAAAATATCTATCTCTCTACTGCAGTGCTAGTCGTACATTCCTAACAAGAATATTTACCACGAGATAAAAAAAAAACAAAAAACTCTTGTGTGACAAAAAACTTTTAGGTATGAAATAATCACTTAAAGAAAGAAGGACACTATAAGGTAGCGTCAGTACCTACATCATCACTCACTCTTGTTTCATCTTTTAACACAATGTTTGACTGAGATGGATTGCCGTGGCTGACTTGTTTGCTGTCACTTTGACAAAGACATCTTATTTTCGTGTGGCATTGATGTCAAGTGAAATGGTTTTGTTTGGCAGTGTTTTTCATTCCTCGACAAGTTCACATTCATTAGCATATACTGATACAAACAAGCTAGGTTAAAGGTCTACGACTTTGGCCTTTCTCTCTAACCAAAACACACCACTTTTGTTGGACACAGCCTGAATGGTACGATGAGGACTTCTGATAATTTATTCCAACAGACCAATGTTTAGTTTGTTGATAGTCTTCTTCAAGTGTGGTCAAGTGATGTTGCTGTGACTTGTCGGATCAGCTGATATAAACAGGTTCTGGTGCTGTCTTCCTATTGGTGGAGACAGGACAACAGCGCCATCTGCAGTCCAACTTGATCAGGACAGCATCATAGGTGTGTGAGAGTAAAAAGGCCCTTTGTCCCGGTTTATAAAGAAGTGTGACATCACCGATAGCGTTCAGCTCCAGTCAAATGAAGCTCCATATTAGGAACAGGAATTTATTTAAGGACAAAATAGCAAATAAAAAACAGTATTATGTAGAACGGGTTAATACGAACATTTTAAGACCAAAATGATGAGGCTTGCAGCAGCAGTTACAGAGAAAGAGGTGACAGTTTTGCATTTTGAAATCAATTGGAGTTGATGGAGCCAGAAGCGCCCCCATGAACACTTCCTATTTGTAACGTGGTCCATTTGTATATACAGTCTATGGTTTATAATAAGCTGATCAGACATGTCAACAGCAACATCACAAGACCACAGTGAAGAAGACTACACATGATGAGTCTAAACTGCCAGGCATGAAAACAGCAAAAAGGTACAAAAGAGAGTTAACCTGATCCAGACAAAGTGACGCATCCAGGTTAGAGGTTCTTACAGGGCTGTGGGCATAGTCGGCCCTCGCTGTGAGTGATGACAGGTGTATTATGAGACAAATGAACAGGTTAATGAGCTAATGCAAAGGAGGTGAGTGCATAATATTTCAGATGGATGGCTGAATGGACTGAGGTAGAATAGAGAGGTGATTGATGAGGTGACATGGGGACTGGCAGATGTAAAAGCAGGTTTAAGATGGATGGAGAAGGAAATGTATGTATGGATGACAGTTTGGCCCCAGGGTTGAGTTAAAGCATCGGCAGACAGAAATCAGCAAGGAAAATAGCTGCGATTGGAATAAGTACATTTCTCAGCGGTTTTCTCATCTGTGTGCTAAATATAGGCGTGACATTACACAGGCACAGTTCCTGCTGCTTGGGTTGTTAATCAGACTAATTAGTTCTTACAGATGTCAATCATTCATAGAAAGGTGTATTGTGTAAAATGGAACTGTATTCAGAAAGGGATGATTTTTTTCCTCAGCCATTTACAGCCGTGTGCCGTGCGTCACAGTAAATCAGATTTCAAGACACACAATACGCTGTTTTTTCAGTCATTTTAACCCTAGTTTCCATCACAGCAGTAGAATGAGTCACCTCAACTTCTCATTTCCTCTTAAACAAAATCACTGTCTTGATTTCTTAGGTGCAGTACATGCAGTACCGTATTTTCTGGGCTATTAGACACGCTCTTAAGCCTCCAACCCCATCAAAAAACGACCCGCCCCGCAATCCAGAGTGCCCTACACACGAATCCACTCGGGTGTCCCAGCGCAACTTCAGTAAACTACAAAGCCGCACCACCTGCAGCGCACGCAAACACGCAGGGAGCAGACAGTGACCGCACAGCAAAACACACCCACAGCCACACTCATCACTCCACGCGGACAAGGAATGGAATGGAGGAACAAACCGAAAAAGCGAGTGCAATGTGCCACTCTGAGCCACAACTGAACAACTGATTCACTGCGAACCCAACAATCCAGCGATCCCAGACAGCACCAAACGCGCCAAACAAAGTCCCACTGACCCATCGAACTGTTGTGTTTCCTTTAAAGTCCAGTGCAGTTCATTTGTGAAAAAAGTTAAAAAAAATACACCATTTAATGACAGTGCGCCTTATAATCCAGAGCGCCTAATAGCCCTGAAAATACGGTACTTTATGTCAATATCTGTTACCCAAAGACTGCATATCAAAGTCTATTTTATAGGGGTGTAATGATATCCAAGTCTCATGATACAATATTTTCACGGTATGAACCTCCTTATTGTGATATCGTGGGAAAGCTCACAATATGATGGGGAGGATCACAATTAAGGATGTAACAATATCCAAATCTCACTGTACAATATTTTTACTGTATACATCTTATGATACGATATTTATTGCGATTTTGTGGAGCCTAAACAGCTAAAACTGTTAATATGCTACTTTTTCCTCTTGACAAGACCTGATCCAAAAAATTAAGACTTAAAAGTGCTTAGAACTGTTATTTCTTCTTGTAGTCTACACTGAAATGGAGCAAAGGATCATGGTCTATGTAGTTTTCTCTATCTTTTTTCTTCTTATATTGTGAAGGTCCACGATATTATTGTGAGAACTTTGACGATACGATATCATGATATTTCAGTTATTGTTACATCCCTTCTATTTTATTATTGTATGAAGGATTGTTGATAGAAAAAGAAAAAAATACTTGAAATGTATTTGTGAATAATATGTGAAACAAAACGAAGCAAAAAGTTTAAATCTGGCTCTACCAATTTTACAGATTTATGTCTCAGAATGTACAATTTTGGCATTTTTTACACTTAAATGCCTTATTTCTATATTAAAATATGAAAAAGTATTTTTAAAAAAAATCATGATTAAAACTGTATAAATAAACCATTCACCTACTTCATGTTATACTTCCAACATCTGCAGACAAGAAAAGCAGACTCACTGTGCCTTTAAGTCTGTATAAGAGATGTTCAATGTTTAGAACTAATTTATAACTTGCTGATTGTATTCCTTGAGATTTCAGGCTTATTTCCAGTGTGGTTTGTTTATACACAACAGCACGTACCCCCAGGGCAACCACACTCCTCCACCAAGGAACACAGTGAGGAAATGCACTCTGCAATGCCAGCAAGTGTTGCCAAAACGCGAGGTAGTCTCTGAGAAATTTTGATAACTTTTAAGGGAACAAATTTACTGCCGAAAATATACAATCTATCTTGCAATATTCAGTGGCAATTTTATCTGCTATAGAACTCAGAATTGCACTAAATAATAGCTTTTCAAGTTGCACAGCCTCATTTTACAAATAGCGATATTTTCTGAACTGTATTCTAATATACGAGTCTAATGCTTTTGCAAATGCCATAAGAACTATTATCCTGACAAATAGAAGTGAAAAGTGCACAGTGTACTCAGTACTGAAATCATTCAACATTGTCTCCTCAAGCTTAAACCATGAACTCCCTTAAGTACAATGCAATGTTTCACCGAGTCCAAATGCAAAAATGCCTCTTTTCTGGGGGTTGATGGAGATCTGTAGCAACCGATAGCGTAATAACAGACAATAATGTTATATAACAATAAGTTCACTCAATTTGAGTCCTCCACCTGCTCGTCTCCATGGAGATGTTTTTCTGAAATGTTCCACAGTATGACATTAAACTGATATATTTATAATTTTGTCAATTACAGGTGCTTTGAAAAACATGCATTCTTACAGAGAGCGCAATAACCTCTCCCTAAACTTTGAATTGTCCCTATGGACATAGACATGATTAATGTCATACTGTGGTACATTCCAGGTAAAGCAATCATCATCTCCATTCAGAAAAGTTGCATAGTGCACTTTTAACAAATGCTACAGTCCCTGACAAAAGTCTTGTCGCTTATCCATTTTGTAGAAACAAAAGCTTTTAACTTGACTTTAAATTAATCGATTGGTTTTAGAAATGTCTCATATGAAAGCTAAAACCCTCCCAAATTATGCTCAATATACTAAAAAAAATTAGCTTCACTGAAAAAAGATTGATCAT